AACTCTTCATGATAATTCACAGAGGTGATTAGAGAACAGTATCATGATATCTTTCAAATACATTAAGATCTGAAGCTTGCGTTGCACACTGAGTCAAGCTGGGGACCCTCGGCAATCTCTGTGAGGCTCAGAAATGGGGAGGGGGCTCTGGCTTCCCCTTCTCTGGGCTAGAGCTTCCTTTGGCCAAGAGTCAGCCTCTTCCCACCCCAGTTACCGGAGACCCACGATGTCTGAGAGTCATTTGTCCCTGGCAGCTCACTGGAAACATCTTGGACTTGGATCCCATTCAAAGCCCACTTTCCCTGCAGCAGGACTGGGGATGGAGGGGCCTTCAAGTCATGCTACCCTGTCACTTGTCCTGCCTGCCACATGCTCCCTATCCCATGGCAACCCATGGGTGCTAGGAGGAAAACCAAGCACTGAGCCTGGGGAGAGGGCACCTCACCTTCATGGAGCCCCAAGATCATACACTCACCAGCCCCAGAACAACCTAGGCAGGAAACAAGGTCTCTCTCTGACAGATGAGGAAATGGAGGCTCAGAGAGGGGCAGAGACTTGCTCAAGGTCACCCAGCAAAGTGAAGGAGTATCCAGAGTATCTCTGGAAAGGAAGAGCCCAGCTCATGTTTGGAGAAAGGGTGGGGAGAGCTGATACCCCCTGGAAAGGGCCAAGAGGGGCTCAATCACTTCTCAGCACCCTCTCTTCCCTTCCCCAGGGTCAGGGGGGCAGAGAGGGAAGGAGTTCTGGGCTGGAACCAGGGGGCCTGGGTTCCAGTCCAGCCCTCCCCCTCCCAGACCCTGCCCTAGGGCATCAGGCAAGCTGCCAACACATGGCAGGCCCGGCTGGGTTCTTGAAGAATAGGGAGGGGAGGAGGAGGAGGCAGTGGGGGGAGGCTGGACTGATTCCTGAACCTTACTGGTCTAGACAGCCAGCTGGGGTGATTTTTTTGGCCGCTTAGATGAATTTTTGGAAAAATAACAATGTTCAAAGGACCTGAGCATTACAGAGCCAGGAGGGACCCTTGATGTCATCTACACCAGTCCCTTGCCAAGACCTCAACTCTCCTACCACTGTTCTAGCCAGTGGGCCTACTGCCCCCACTCAAACACCTCTACTGATGGGAAACTCACCACCTGTGGGGGCACCAGTCCATCCTCTGACGGCTTTGGCTTGGTGGAAATTATTCCACTTGCAGAACTAAGGTCTGCCTCTCTCCTTCTTTCCTTCTTCATTCCTTTCTTCCTCCTCCGCCTCTGCTTCCTTCCTTCCCTGTCTCTGTTTCTACACATCTATTGAGCACCATCTTTGTATCAGATGAGGATTCAAAGACAAGTTCACATGACCCCTGCCATGACCCATTGCTCATAGTCTGGCAGGGAAGCAGATAGACATTTAGACAGTCACAACACTGGGCAGTGGGTATTGTGATAGATGCTGAGAAGGCACAAAGAAATCAGAGGGGGCTTCTTGGAGGAGGTGCTATCTGAGTTGATCCACAAAGGATGGCAATTAGGGGGAAGAGAAAGGAGTTTCCAGCTCTAGGGAGCAGCATGTGTGAAACATCCTGTCTATTCTAGAAATGGCAGAGACCATTCAGTCTGGCCAGGCACAGAATGGGAGAGATGAGAGATGTGGCTGACAAGGTCAGCAGGGCCAGGTCATGAAGACTCTAAAATGCCGGGCTGAGGACTTTAGTTCTCATCCCACGGTCACTGAAACACTATCACCAGCCCCAATTCTATTCTCTGCCTTGTAGGATACCACTAAAGCTGCAATTCCAGGGTAGAACTTCTCTTGTGCTTTGTGATGTTTTTAATAAACTTTCTTTTTGGTAGATGGGCTTTTCCCTCCTCTTTGGTATCTGTTGTGACAATGGCACTGGGCTGGACACTGGCAGGTAGGACAAGGAGACTGAGCCCCAAGGCTTGCCTGAGCCTACCTGAGGCCAGGAAGACACAGATGACAGAGCACTTAGCACGAGGAAAATACGTGTGTGGTCTTCCATTGCTGGGATGTACGTGTCACAGTCAGCACCAGGGTTCAGGCTTTATAGACTGGGGAGCTTTGCCCCTCAGGGTTGGAGGGATCCTCCGTGGCCCTCTGCAGTTCCCTGGCAGCCGGATTCTCATACCTCCTCTGTGGATGATGGGCTCTCCCTGCCTCCACCTAATCGCTGGTATATCAGACCAGAACTGGAGGAGGACCAGGAGATACGACCATTCCGATGTGCCCCAGAGAGTCCCTTGGTCATAGTCAGCTTTCTTGAGAGATAAGGCACCTAGGGTCACGCTCACATGCTGCCACCTGAGGCAGCTCACTTGAGCTACTGGGTCTCAGGACTCCCATCTTTCCTGTCTGCCTCAAGATCAAACAGGAGAGTATTAAGAAATGTACACAAAGCTCTCAGAGAAAAAGCGGCATTTTATGAGGCTAGGCACATAGAGCATTCTGGAAGAAATGTCAGCAGTGGTGGATATATCATTCCAAAGGTCTGCTGTGGCTGCTTAGGGAATGGTGGTTCTCTGGCCCAGTTTGAGAGAATTCAAGTGCCCCTGGCCTGCAGATTCCTGCGTATGTGCCTCAGGTCTTCCGGGACTTGAATGAGCAGGCTGAGTTCTCGTCAAACCCTGGCTGGCTGGTGGTCCTCAGGGATCAGTGAACTCTCGCTCGATGTCTGACCCACCTTGATTCTGGCTCTTCTGACACACATGTCTACCTCATTGGCTGGCCCATCCATTTTTCTTTAAACACTTGGTTGTTTGGTTGAGGGTGAGTTTGGAATCCCCCAATCTTCCCAGAGGAGGGATCTGGGAAAGACTAGGGCTGAATCCATCTGAAGTCAGGGGCCAGGACAGGATAGACTAGGATTGGGCTGCTTGTCTCATCTTGATAATGAGGTCACCTAGACCAAGAAAAGTGGCTAGACTCAGCCTCAATACAGAGCCTGGCACTGCCTGTGCTCAGTAATTACTTGCTGTGTTAATTTACCTTTCTGGCCCCCTGCCTGGCACAGATCTGGACACATGGTCAGGTGCCTGGACTGTTTACTCAAATGCTTCATCTTTAATTAACCTCAAGCTCCATCTCAATATGTCTCATGCCATACTCTGCCCCAAACAGAGGGGAATCTGGCCTGTGTGTTTATAATTCCTTTACACTTATCTCATCCAAATAGTGCTCTGCATGATCTGTTTGATGTCCAACTTCTGAGCCTGCTTTATAAGTCAGCTAAGCTCAGAAATAGGAAGTAGCATTTTTGCCAAGGATAAACTGACTCCAGGCCTGGCTGAGGTCAAGCTCAGTTTAGAGCATGGTGCCCATGGGGCTGGCTGGATCCTCTGAAGCAGAGCCCTAGGCCCCTGCCGGGTCTCAAGCTCCAACACGTTAATCACGGCTGAGCTGAAAAGAATTCAGCTCTCCACCAAGATGCCAGTGTGATCTTTGGCCACCTGATGAGCTGCCCAGAAGTCTGTTGTCTCAGAAGAGAGACAGCTGCCAAGCTGGGCACAATGGCACTGGGGCCAGTTGGTCACCACAAGCCTGCCAGGGAGGCCTGTGGTGCAGTGAGGCTGTGGAGCACTGGGTGGGGAGTCAGCAGACTTGCTGGCTGTGCATCCAGGAGGACTGCTGCCCTCTCTGGGCCTTGTTATTACTGTTACTGTTATTATTATCTGTCAAATGAATGGCCTTTCTGCTCTCAGGTTCCAGGGCTCTGTAATTAGTGAGCCGCCGGCCCGGCTGAGGGTTCCTGGTCTGGGAGTCAGCCAACCTGGGTCCTCTGTCTCCTTAGCTCCCACCTTGGGGAGCAGATGGGCCAGGGAAGCCCCTGTTGGGCTGCTCTGCCTCCCCAGCCCCCACCCCAGCTGTGCCCCACCACCTCCCTCTGATTTAGCAGGAAAGTTTCTCACTGGCTCCAAGATTTGACAAGTTGGGGCATGGGACACTTGGCACATGCTTATTGACAGAGCCTTTTGGCCAGAGGGACCAACATGAGCAACTGGTCAGATGGCCTCTTTGGCTGGAGTAAGAAGCTTGTGCTGCCTGTTTGGGCAAGATCTTCCTCCTACGGAGCTTTCCTGGGCAGAGAATGGAGCAGAACATGGACCAGGAGACAAGGATCTCACTTGTACCATACCGATCTGTGGCCACATTATGGCTGGGTGACCTTGAGCAAGTCCCCTCCCCTCTTTTGGGAGCTCAGTTTCCTCATCTGTGAAGTGGGGATAATCACACCTCACAGAGCTAGCATGAGGATCAGCAGTGGAGTGCGCAAAGCACCCGCCACGCTACAGGCTTTGGCAATGGCCACTCTCGGTACCCTCCTTAGCTATTACCACGAGATTCCTAGAGCCCCTGTCTTTAAAATTGCCCTTCTGTGCCCACTCCTGTGCTCCGGCCCAACTCACTCCATTAGCCATGATTTCAACAGCCTCTCCTCTCACCCAGACGGGATTAATGATACAGACCAGAGAAGTCTGGATTCGTGTCCTCACTCTCCCACTTGCTGTGTGACCTTGGGCAACCACCTCCTCTTTTCGGATCTCAGTTTAATCATCTGTTACAAGGGGTAAGGGACTACCTCCCTTAGCACCAACATCCCACCCCCCAACCCAGTACTTTGGTGGAAACATTAACCAAGAGCTCTGGAGGGCCAGTTCACAAGTACTCAGGGTTTTCAAAATAGCAGCATTCTCTGTCCTAAAGCATCTTCCCAGGCCCTGGGGTGCATCCAGGGGAGGGGAGGATGGTCAGGGTTCACACCTCTGGCTCCCAAATCCAGCTTCACAAAAGCTAAGCCTGTCTGCATGCCTGCCTACCCCCATGGGTCCCCACAGTGGGAGAAGCCAAACCTGGACCCAGGAAGCTTTGGTGATCCAGGAGCAAGACAGTTCAAAGCCACAATCCACATGAGGTCACAGACGTCCTGGCAACCTGGGCTTCCCTCCTGGGTTGGCGTCGGGGCTAATTAAGGGGTTATAACATAGGCCACATAAAAATAGTTTTATCGGTAGAATAAATACATTTTTCTTTTTTAATATGAACACATATTTTACAAAAAAGCCCCATAGCACTATGGGAAATTAAGATTCTTCTACAAAAAAGAAGATGTAACTTGGGTACAATAAAGCTCTAGTGTTCTAACTCATCCCGTCTGGACTGCCCTCGAGGTGCTGGGCACCCTGGAGCTGTGGCAGGGGAGGTGCGGTGTGACCACAGACCCTTGTATGGTTTCTCTGGCTTCTCCTCATGGGGTGGCTGAGGTCAGGAGGGTCCGAGGGTGTGCAGCAGGAAAGGGGCGGCGATGGTGGCAGCGACAACAGAGAGCAGGCCCAGGGTAGGATATGAGCAGCGGGGTGCTGAGCTGCTGGTGGGCCCCGGCAGGTCCTGCTGCTGGAGCTGGTCTGAGATCTGGAAGGGGGGCGTGGCGGTCCCGGAGATGTGCGTGGGCTGGAGGGGCGGCAGGGGTGACGAAGCAGTGGTGCTAGATGGGAGGAAACACACGGCGCAGTGACTGTCAGTAGCTAGCGTGGTCCTGGGCAGAGCCTGGGGGCTCAGATCTGACTATCGGATCTATTTTTTCCTCATAAAATGGAGAAGGAAACAAGAGGCTCAGACAGGGAAAGTGAGCAGCCCAGAGCCACACAGCCAGCCCAGTTGCACTCTGGAGACTGCACTCACCCTCCTGTGCAAGGCTCCAGGGGACGGGCCAGGCCTTGGGGGCCACAGGCCTCAAGTGTGACCACTCAGGAGAACAGGTCCCAGGCAGAAAGAATTCAGGCCTTAGGGAGGATTTAGAGCTGAGGTCACACGGGGGCAATAAGTCCCCACAACTATGCACCCGGGTGCCCCTGCCTTCTGATGCTGGCCTTCTGTGCTTGCTGAAATCAACAGGAAATAAACCACCTCACTGTTTCCACTTCCCTCATCATTGAAACTACCTTGTACTGGGCATCCACTTAACAAACAATATTTCTGGTCCTGACAAAAAACCTTCCTAATGGGTCTCATTACTGTCTTTTAGCAGATGGGAAAACTGACGCTCAGAGAGGCTATAGGTGCCCAGGCCACAGGGAAAGTGGGGGTGTATGTCCACGGGGCAGGAGCCCTGGGGTCTGCCTCACTTTGAGCAAACACAGTGAGTGCTGAGTTAAGGGTGCAGTCCTTCATGAACTTATAAAATCAGGATCCAGTTTTGGAGGTAACAGGTGAGATTCTTGGCTCAAGAAAGCCTAGGTGACAGAGAGAGAGTGGGACAGAGAAATAGAAGATTTAGTGTAGGAACAAATCAGCAGCTGAGCTCCACACTTGCTGGCCTTGGGAAGCTGGAGGGGGAGAGTGGGGCCAGGTGGGACTCAGGCTCAGGAACAAGGCTGATAGGAAACAGATGAGCAAAGAGAGACAGAAGGCTAGACAGGGACTGAGGGAGAGGAGGCCCATGACAGGCGTAAGAAGGTGAGGCACAGGAGAGACATCGACAGGAGGGACAGGCTCTGGGATAAAGACAGGCCTAGGACCCTAGAGGCAATGGCCAAACCTGCTCTCAGGGTGTCCCATCCCACCCAGAGAGGAAGCACAGGGCAGTGGACACATGGAGGGGCCCCTGACCCAATAGTGGAGGCCCCCGGAAGAGGGGGCACTGCAGTTGGTGGGGAAGGCTGAGCCAGCATAGCTTGCACATGAGAAGGGCACCCTAGGTGGTGAGACATGTCCTTGCAGAGCCCTGGCCCTGTGCCAGGCTCTGTGCAAAGCACTTGCCACGCACTAACCTTTAATCCTCATGACGACCCTAGGAGGCAGAGGTGACTGTGATCCCTCCTGTACTTAGGAGGAGCTCGAGGCATGATGAGGTGAAGTAACTTGCTACAGGGCTCACTAGCAGATGCCTGGGCAGGGAGCGTGCCCCTCCCTGGTCAGCTGAAGGGATAGGCTGGTGGAAATGAGCAGGGCCATCTCCATGGGTCTGCAGTGTGGTGGCCTCCTCCATGTGGGGCAATGCCCTGCTTCCTAGTGCTTGCCTCTCCCTACAGGCTGTGCATTCCCCAGTCATCTGGCAGCACCTCTGGCCTGCATTTCCTCGGGCCGGGCCATGAGGTCCTAATAGCTGGCTGTCATCCTTGAGGTGAGCCCCTGGGCTTGTGACCAGCCCAGTGCATGCTGCCATCCTAGCTGATGTTCCCCACAGCTGTGGCTCAGCCTTAGTCTGGGCGGATGTGCAGGGCAGCCTCGGTCACCAAGCATACCCTGGCTTCCACATGGGCTCAGGCTGGGACCTTGGCTTGGAAGTGAGCATCCAAATGTCCAGACCTTACGTATTTCAGTAAAAAAAGGGGTCCTTTCTCACTGCCCCCTCTTCCCTTTCTTCTCTTCTCTGATGATGCTCTGTCCCAATAAACCGTTGTGTCCTTGCACAAAGTTCTCTTCAATGTGGATCCACAGGTGTGATGTACCATGATCTTCTGTCTTTAGAAAGTCCCAGGGGAGACATCAGGAGAGGAGGGAGCAAACCCTTGAGCCATCTAGAGGACTCAAGGATGGAGTTCCTGAATAGAGTGTGTGAGGAATGGGGGGTGGGCCAGGTGGCTTCTAATGCCCCTTATTAAAACCCACAGAATCCAGTGTGCTATGACTGCCACTCCAAGACCTGTCACCATTTGGCACTGCCAGGGCCGACCTCACCTTCCATGGTTCTCCCGGCACATGCCACACTCTCCAGCCCAAATTTTTAGCATCGTTATTAATATTTTTGTGTCTCTGCCTCTCCCACTAATACCATCCTCCATTTATAGAGCACTTGATGTGTGCCGGTAGACACTGTGCTTGGTGCTGTACATATGTCATTTTATCATTATTCCCATTTCCAAGATGAGGAAACAGCTTGAAGGACATTAGGTTTCTTTCAAGAGACAGGATGTACTCAGGGGCAGGTGTCTGCCAGCTGAGTGGGGTCGAGGTGCCATCCCTCATTGAGTGGGATGGGGAGCCATGACTGAAGCGTGGGTGCTTCTTGCTGAGACCTCTCAAGCCCGTGGGGGAGGTTTGCCAGCCTCTGGAGAGGATCAGTGCTTGCGCCCGGCAGCGTCATTACCCCAGCCCCTTTCCTTTCTGTCTTTTCTAATAAAAAGAAAAACAAAACCCCCAAAACAATAAAACCCACACACAACACAAGAAGTCCATAAAAATTCCTTCTCAGCTGTTGCCGCATCATTTCAGCCTGAGCAGCTGGGAGGCTCGCAGGGCTGGCTCCAGGGGAGCAGGCTGGCGTGCCCCTTGCAGTGCCCGAGCTGGGGCCCAGGCTGGCCTCAGAAGGCAAGGCCAAGTAGGAAAGTAGGAGTTATGAAAACTATGTCTCACAAGGCGCCTGGAGGCATTTTCTTTCACACTTTGAAAACCAAAGATGAAAACTCTCCCTTGGAGCCTGAGCTGGGTTTTTATTGCTTGGAAGGAGTCCCAGGAAAATGGGGTAGGACTGGGGGGGGGGCATGGAGGACAAGCCCCTCCAAATGCCCCCATCCTGCCTTCCTGGCCCAATCTGTTCATAAACCTCTATCCCCCAGTCCAGATCCCCGTCCCCTCCCAGGCTCATGCTGGGGAAAACTGTCTCATGACAAAGTGGCCTTGAAGCCAAACCAAACACGCTGAGTGTTCCCAGGCTCTGCAGATGGCTGGCACCAAGGGGCCGAGTCTGCTGTGAGCTGACAGGGCCCCCTGCCCCAGTGGGGAAGGGCTCCTCCACCTGGATGGAAGGCAGGAGCCCCGTTCTAGCCTATGCTATGTTCCTGGTTTCTTGTGTGACTTTGGGCAAGTGCTGACCTCTAGGCCTCAGTTTCCCCATCTATACAATGAAGAAGCAGGAACAGACCCATGGACTTTAAAATGTTTTTCAGCAGCAGGACCCAGAAGTGAGGAGAGGAGGGCCAATGACAGAAGCCCATAGTGGAAAGCACAGAAAAGCAAGGCTGGTGCCTGAGACGGTGTCAGCAGTCTGTCCCCTAGGGCCCCTCCAAAGGCACTAGAGGTCTCCAAGAGCCATCCAGGACTAGGTTCTGGGAGTCCCTGGGCCTTGGCTTTCTTGCCAATGCAAGGGGCTGGTGAGCTGTGCCCTGGGTAGCCTCCTTAGAGAGCTTCAAGGAGACATGGGGGAGGCCAGGTTTGGGGCACACAGGGCCTGGGTACCCTTGATGAGCCCTCGATGTGACCGGGCTGGAGGAGACCCCGTTATGAATCTGGCCTTTGCCTCAGCCTCTCTGGGCTAAGCAGGTCAGGTGTAGGCAGAGATCTAAAGCCACCATGTGCTGTGCCTGACTTCCTGATATCTAGGTCCACGCCAGCCTCCATACCTTTGCCCACATCATCTTCTGCACTGGAAGTGACTTTGCCCTTCCCTCAACCTCACTGGGCCATTTTTCTGACTGGATTCCTTCCCAGGCACAGGGCAGGCAGTCTGGTGAGTTTTCTAACAGCTTCATAGCACACCTGATCTGGAAGGGCCAGTCCATCCCTGAGATGGGAAACAGACCCAGAGAGGAGATGGACTTGCCTCAGTCACCCAGGACAGCTGATGCAGGGTGTCCAGAGTGTGCTTCTGGGCCTTTTCAGCAGCACCATGTGGGGAGCCATTGCCCCTGTCTGCCACCAACACTGAACATGGGACGGGGCAACTGGTGTGTGTCCCACATGGTCCTGCTAAACTGGGGAGAGTTCACCCACCCAACGGCTCACTTAAGGCTTTAAGCTAAGGGTAGGGTAGGGCATCTCAGACCAGAGACTGAAAGTCAAAGTCATCGATATTAGTGACAACTGTTATGGAGGGTCACTGGTGGTCTGATGCCAGCCTAGTGCTTTACAAGCCTCATCCACTAAATCTCTAAGCCCCAAAGCAAGCACAAGGAGGGGCTGGGATTTGAATTCTGTTCTGCCTGAAATTGTCTGTGCTTCTATTCACTGGATGATTCTGCTTCCCATTTCTCGTGGGGGATCTTCCCCCAGCCTCACATGGAGACTCTGACCATCTGGGACCATCCCAGGAGAAGGCCTGGCTGTGCTAGGATAAACTGAAGTTGGAGAACTTGGGGCAGGGAGGGTCAGCCAGCAGGAGGCAGGGAGAGGGACACTGTGTCTCCTTCCCTCTTCAAGGGCTCTGGCCATCTGCTCAAACTTCAGGGGAAACTGAGGCGCAGAGGGCAATGACCCCTCGTGCATATCCTGCACCCCTTGCCCCTACATGGTGATAGCACCAAGGCTCTGCATCCCTCATGTACTAATGCCCACCTCTGTGCCTTGCTTTGGACCATGCCCAACCCTTGGAAGTACTTTCTCCCCTTACACCTGCCCATTGTGACAGTTCTCGCAATCCAGATGTCCCAGCCATTCACACACACACACACACACACACACACACACACACACACACACAGCTGTGGACTTGGAGAACAACAGCTGGCATGACCTCCAGCCTTCCTCTGGCTTTCAGATGTCGGGGTTCTCCAAGAAAGCTCTGGTGCCACACAGACATCTGCAGATACACATTCAGCCCTTTCCACAGGTCTCCATAAATCATCCTGCCACAGGCTGCCACTTCTCTAAACTTTCTCCGGTGTGTTTACCTCTCAGGTAATGAGGGGCGAGGGGGGCAGCCTGCTCCAGGTGGTGTCCTGGCCAGGTGCTTGCAGCCATGTCCCTGGCTCACTCCCTCCTTCTACACTCAGGCCTGCAGGCAACAACCCCCCCACAAGGCCTCTGGCGACCCAGAGCAGCTGACCCAGATCTGGTCCCAAGGCCTCCCAGGCTAGAAACACACGCTAGAAACTGCAGTCTGTGTGACCATGCCAGGACAGGGGCACCCACGGGGGCTGCGGGAGGAAGGAGAGGTAAGCAGGCAAGTTACCCAATCTTGCTGAGTCTGTTTCTTAGAGTGTGAAATAGGCCTGCCTTCATGATTCTTGACAGGACTGGGGGACATATGGACATAAGTGGCATGGAGTGAGAGGTCCACAACTGTTTACCTGAGCCAAGAGAGAAGCCAGTGTCAAGGCATGGAGGGGCCAGGATCTGCCTGCCGGGGCAGCACACAGCCTGGCGAGGTCAGGGCTGGCAGCTCCCCGGGGAGGAGGGCGGTGGGGGAGGCAGGAGAGGCGGGGAAGGTCCTGCCTGAGGCTGAGTGGTGGGGGTCACGGCAGGACCTCACTGAGGAGGGGCAATGCGTGCAGGCAAGACTGGGGCCAGGAGACCCACCAGGATCTTCCGCAGGGTCACAGGTGGAAGAGGGGCTGGGAGAGGGGACGAGGGGATGGCTCTAGTGGGATTGAGGGAAAGAAAATAAGAAAGTTGAAAGTAAAGCTTCAAGGGAAATGGTTTTGTTAGAACGACAAATGGCCCCAGGTCACTCCAGAGAGTGCTCCTCTGTTTCCTCTTGGAAAACTGAAAACTTGGGGACTCTGGGGGGGGGGTGAGTCCCCCAGGAGCAGTGGAGGCTGTGCCCTGGGCTGGGGCCTCTCAGGACCTGCTTCCCCAAGAAGCAGCAAGAAACTTTCAACAAACAGGCTGCCCTTTGGTGGAAACTTCCTTCTCCAACCCAACCAGATGGAAGAAAGTTAGCCAACCACAATTTACCTGTTGGGATGGAGACGGGGCTCCCCTCTTGCCAGAGAAAAGCTATTTTCTTCTCTAAAACCAGGCTCTGTGTTTCAGGACTGCGTGTTGTGGAAAGGAAACCATTCAGAGTCATTTGCCGAAATTTACCTTTCAGACATGGTTAGGGCTTGGAGGTCTGCTGCTGGAGCTGACGGCCCAGCCTCCTGTCACCCCATGGGTTTGACCCATCACCAGAAGGGTCTCTGGTCACCATGAGAGTTGATCAGGTCTCTGAGTGACCTGCCTGTGACCTGCCCAATTGGAGATTTTAAAGGGCTGCCAGCTCCCTATTCGCCCCAGACTTCCTGGCAGCCTGCAACTGTCTCCCCTGCTGCAGAAAATGGCCCTGGTAACTCTACGGCCCCACTCCCAGTTAGAAGGGGGCAGCCATGCTGAGTGTGTGACCTAACTGTGTTGTAGCCCATATAATGGCAGCAATGGCTCTGCCTTGGGCAGGCAGGGCCAGTGAGGGCTCTGCAGAGGTGCATTTCCCAGTAACACAAATGGGTAACTTTGAAACCGATGCCCAAAGAATAAATTGGCTTGGCTCTTACTTGCTGAAAGTTGTGCACACTCCACACTTTTTGATAATGGGCTGGGCTTCGTCAACCTTTTGTCAGTGGCTCAGAGCCCTGGCTGCAGAAGAATCATACAGTGTAAAGTGTGAGGGGCAGCCCCTGATTCCTGTGTGCCCCTGGGCAAGCCCTCCCTCATCCCGGGTCTTGGTTCACCGTCTATAAATGCAGAGCAGGGTCAGCATTTCCCAAGGCTGTTCAAAAGAATCTCCAGGTGCCCCTTCAACATACGGATTCCCAGGACCACATCCTGCAGATTCTGATTCATGAGGTCAGCAGCGGGGCCTAGAAATTTGTTTTTTTATAAGTACCAGGTGATTCTTTCCAGGGTTTCTGAGGATCCTGGATAATAATTTTTAGGGTCTAGGTGGAGACTCTGAGACTCCAGGGGCCCACTGCTAGGAACATTGTGTCCAGGACTGGGCTATTGTGGTGGGTCCTCTCACTGACAGACCCTCCCTAGGACATTCCTGGTTCTCTGGTGACACTCTCCACCATATATGGAGATTCCTGCCCCAAAGTGGAATCTAGAGAGACTGCTATATACTGAGACTGCAGGTGAAGGCTGGGAAAAAGCGTCCTGGTTACAGCAGGAGCTTTGGTGACAGGCCACCGAGGGGTATTAGTACATTAGGGTGATTTCTGTGCCTATCTATTTTCAACAAGGCTTATCACACATCCCCCATCTGCTCCGAGACAGAGCTCACAGTATTAAGGGCATCAGTCCCTGTTGTCCCATCTCTCTCGCAGGGCAGGGTCCCCTCTGTAGCCTCCCTGCCAGGGTGTTCACTGCTCAGATCTTCCTGGCACAGCAGCTCATGGCCTTTTGGTGGAGCAGCCTGTTCCATTTTCTCCTAGTTTCACCTCCAGTCTGTCGGACAAATGGAGCACACTTTGCACACCAGGTGCGTCCCAAGAAAGCTAAGTGCAAAGCAGCCTTTTGTCCACTGCACCTGAAGGAAGCTCCTCACCTTTCAAATGCAGAGAATTGTACTTGCCCTTTCTTAGAGAATGAAACAGAAAAATCAGACATGAACATGCTCTGCAAACCCTGAAAGATGATCATGAGGATCCTTTGTGAATGGGAAGAGCAAGCCCTGAAGTTTCCACTCAGGACAGGGCATGCCTGGTGACAGTGTGCCCAGCATGGGCGGGTCCAGGGGAGGCTGCCCAGGGGCAGACGCCCAGCTCACCTGTCCTCGATGCGGACCCAGAGGTCATTGAACTGCCGCGGCCGCTGGTGTTTGTTCTGCCTCTTGTGCCACTTCTTCTGCCGTCCAAACTCCTCCAGCTGGCTGAGGCTGTCAGGGAGCAGGAGGTGTGGGGACAGGGCTGGATCCTCCTCCTCAGGTGGGGCGGTGGGGGGTGCCGAGGGCACTGTGGGGACGGCAGCAGCTGGGGTCACTGGGGCCGGGCTCGTGGAGGTCCCCTCGGGAGGGGGCACTGGGCTCCAGGCGGCAGGGCTGGAAAGGGGCAACAGCACATGAGGCACATGTGCTGGGGCGTGTCGTTCATGTGCGACAGACAGGGCATGCAATTCAGGGGAAAGTTGTCATGGCAGGAGAAAATGCCAGGGTGCCCCTGCTGGGCCCAGAGGGAGAGCCCAGGAGAACCGCTGCCTGGTATTGAGACAGAGCTCTGACTCATTCTTTCACTTACTTAGTCAACAGGCATTTACTGAGCACCTACCCTGCACCAGGCACTTTCCTTGTGATAGTTGAGTATCGGCAGTCACCAAAACAAAGTCTCTGCCCTCCTAGAGTTTACATTCCAAAGCAGTAGACAGAGTAAAACATAGGGGACATCAGAGGGTGGTAACTACCAAGGGGAAAATGAAGCAGAGGCAGGTGTGAGTTCCTGGGGGTGGAAAGTGCCGGTCAAGGAAAGTGGTCTAGTTACCTGGTCACTGACTGGTGACATGTGAGCCCAGACTAGGAGGGGGAGAAGGCAGATCTCTGGGGTGTATCTGATCTTGGTCAGGGTCTCAGTCATTCAACAACTCTGGCTGGGGGACTTTAAGCAAGTTACCTAATTTAATTGTGCCTCAGTCTCCTGCTCCATAAAATGGGGATAGTACAGCCTATACTTCCTAGGCGTATCCTGAGGATTGTATATGTTCACACAGGTGAAGTACTTAGAACTTAGTAAGCAGCTGGAACATTAAGTGATTGAAATGATTAGCACCGCTTGTGTTATTTATTCCCCCAACCATCCATTCATGACTCGTTTACTGTGCACCTTTCCAGTGGAGGTGGGACAGGGTTAAGCAGCTAGAGCTTGAGCTGGAGGGAGAGAGACATGAGCTCACACCTGAGCTCTGCAACTTACAGGTGTGTGACTGAGGGAAGCTCCTCGAGCATCTGGAGCAGGAGTTCAGGACTAATGTTACTGCCTAGGGCTGTCATGAGGGTGAGGAACAGGAGGTCTTAACACAGTGCCGGGCACGTAACAAGCTCTCTTTGTTGTTTGGCCAACAAGCCATGGCCCTGGTTGTCAGGAAGGCATGGAAGTGTCACTTAGGCATGTTTATGCAACTCATGTTCCTGACAGGGGTGCACACACACATCTCCTAGCCTGGGAGCATCCACTGCTTCTCTCCCTTTTATTCTTTCCTCTCTGTGGCCCCAACAGAATTCCTTATGGGGACATCTGACCCTGGGAGAAGGTTGGCAATGGCTTCAGGAATTGTGTCTGAGCAGTTCACATGGCATGGCAGCACCCAAGACGGCAAGCGGCCTGTCTCCCCCTCCCCTCTCACACAGCAGATGGGTGAGGGGCTCCTCTCCCTTTGAAGGAAAGAAGGCCATCAGCTCAGCCTATCCTCCCCCAACCCCCATGGCAACCCCAGATTCCCAGGGTCCAGGCTGCCAGGACATGCCGCAGCTGCTGGGGAGATAATTCAAAACAGTCAGACAAAAAGATAGATCCGGGAAGCACCTGTGGCCGATGATGGCTTTTATTGTCAGAACTCCTCGGCATCCCTGCCCCCCTGCACCCTGCCAGCTCCCTGGCTCCCCTGTGCAGGAGACTAAGACTGAGAGCCCTCAGAGCAGAGCCCGTGGGGGAGGAGAGGGGACCCCCTCCTCTAGTACTTGGGCTCTGAGATGAATAGGAGGCTCGCCAGCCTGGCCGGCCTGCCTGCCTCCCTGCCCTGGCCTGGACACACAATGAGCTTCAAGGGGAAAGTCCTTGGGGTGGAGGGGTTGAGGGGTGGGTGAAGGGAGATGAGGGGAACTTGAGGAATGCCTTGTCCCTGAGGCTACCTTGGATCCCCACCCCTCAAACACATGCCCACCCTGGCCCCTGGTACAAATAGATTTGTGCTGGACTCCAGTGGTTCAGATAGGAAGGGAAGAGCAGTCTTGGCCATTGGATCCAGATGAGAAAATGTGGGAGGCTGGAAGGGAGTCCCCACGTGAGGGTTTACAAGTCCCTCAGAATGCTGTGGAGCTAGGGGACCAACCGCTCAGTGCTCTGTGTGACCCCATGGCCCTGTCCTCTAGGCCTCATCTCTGGAGAGCAAGTCTCAGTCATTTCTGAGCCCCCATCCCACCCTCAGAGTGTGTACAAGGAGTAGGAAGGAGTGGGAAGGAGTCAGGGACACCTTAGAGCCACACTTGCACTTACACAAGCTGTGTGTCCTTCTGCACGTAACCACACCTCTCTGGGCCTCAGGTTCCTCAGTTATAAAGCAGGGATACTCATAGCTCCTCGTGGGGTTTTTGTGAAGACTAAATGAGTTAAAGGTGAGCAGCCAATAAGTATCAACTATGATTATTCAAGCTTCTTTCAAACTCTGGGTCTTATAATGTCAGGGACGGGGCTGAAATCACATTGTCACTGCCCTTATGGCTCGGTGAGAACTGTTTCTGCATAAAAGCTGGAGCGTGGGCCATATTGAACCCCTGAGTTTGAGGATTCTGTCACTGACCTCTGTGGCTGCCCAGGACCTAAAGCCTGGCTCTGGCTGCCACCTTCACCATGCTTGGCCTGGTGCTGGTGCTGTGGACCCACAGATGGGCTGAGCTGGTCCCTGCCCGTGGGCAGTGCTCAGACTGAGGGTGAGGGGTGGGGACAGGAAACCCCCACAGGAAGAGAGGATGACCAGTAGTGGCTTTTTGAGCAGAGTGAGCATGCCCTGGCAGGCAAAGCAGGGATCGGGGGCACAGCTGGAGGTGGCAGTGGAGAAGGTACAGTCGAGAAGGTGAGGCCCAGGTGTGGGTGGGCAGTGGGACTGCCATGGCGGGGGCTGGGACACAGGGAAGATGCCATGGCATCACCTCGACTCAAGCTGGGCATCCACCCAGTCCTCCAGGTAGCAACCCGGGAGTTTTAGAGAGTCCTTCCACCCCACCCAATTCACCAGTGTCTAAGTCCTAAGCACCTCTTAAATCCTAATGCTGCTCCCATTCCCACTGTCATGCCCTGGCCCCACACCATTACCTCCTTTCAAGTCTCCCACCTCAGCCCACACCAACACTGTTAGGTGCCTGGTCAAGGCCCATCCCCACGTGGCCCTGTCTTGCAGAGGCTTCTCAACAACTCTCCCTGTAGGCCTGAGCAGGAAGGCAGGTGGCAGGCAGCTATGCAGTACATTGTCTGGCCTGGCCCGCAGGAGGGTGGTGGCAGGTCAGACACTCCCAATGTCTCCTAATTCCAAGACACTCCCATATGCCCTGGCTGCTCACCTGTGGATGTCCTGCCCTGCAGGTGTGTGATCCACTTCCAGCCCTGCCTGCCGTAGAACGTCGATGACGGTGTTGTTCCCCAGAAAGTGACCTGGAACACAAGGAACAAAGCAGGCTCAGCCATATGCCAGGTCACTAGCCACTGGGGATGGCCTTAGGCCGTCCCCTAGGTCTGCATCTGGGCCAGTAACCTAACCCAGTGTTGAGGCCCCAGACTCCCTAGAGGCAGTATAGCACAGTGATAAAACGTGGTCCTGGAGCCACCCTGCCCAGGCCCAAATCCTGGCTCTGTGCTTACTGGTTGTAGTCCTATGCCTCAGTGTCCTCATCTGTAAAGTGGGCTGCATGTCATAGCAGCCTCCAGGACTACTGTGATGACTACAGAAACGGTGGCATGTAGTGCGAGCTCCAGGTGCCTCCTGTTGCATGGCTGTGCCTCACGCCACTAAGTTGACACCAGCCCCTGATGGTCAGGCTGGGACAGCCTTCAGCAGTCATACAAGGCCCCATCCAAGAAGCCCTCAAGTCCCCCGCAGGTCTCTGGCTCATCCATGTAAGTTCCATCAGCAACTCGTGCCTCCTGCCCTTAGCATGGGCGTGGAGTTCTATGTGTCCATGTCGGTCTCCTCACCAGCCTCCCATAGGACAGAGACCATGTCTCCACTGCCAGGCACAGGCTTAGCATGTGCTGCCTGGACCCGCACATTCACGGGTTTACGTGTTCACCATCTAGCTGACATTCATGGAGCACACACTATGGCCCCCGTGCTGCAATGGCCACTGACGCCTCATTGAGGTAAGATACCAGTAGGGGAGACCAACAAAACCCCACTGATGGCAGGGTCCAGCAGACAGGACAGTGGCCTAGAGGAGGTACAAGTACAAAACCGAACCCTCCAGAGGTGTGTGTGGGGAGAGAGGCTGGCCTCCACCTCGTCCCTACCCACTGTCATCCATTCAGCCAATGCTTATGACGCGTTTGCACTGTGGCCAGCCCCATGCTAGGCATTGGGAATAGAGAAATGCATAATTTAGTCCAAAGCCCCAGGTGAGAGTGGAAATTGCCCTCCTGTTGGGATGCTAGCCTGAGGTCTGAGAATTCAGGGGAAGCCTCTCCCAGGCTTTGGTTAGGAAGAATCCTCAGAGGCCACCCGACTGGATGTAGGAGCTGCTGGGATTCAGCACCTAGTGACGACTATCTGCCTCCTGGGCCTCAGTCTCCTCTCCCGCTGTGGGTCTGCCCTGCAGCCCCACTCACGTGGGCAGCACTCCCCATTCCTGTTCACTGTTCATCCCAAAACCTGGGGGGAAACCCCTGCACTATTCCTCTAATTGCCTGTGACGGGTGGTGACAGGTGGGAGGCTGGAAGGTCAGCATGCTGACAGCCCCAGGGAGATCTAGAACAGAAAGTGGACAAGCTGTCAGGGAATGGAGAGGCTCTGGCACAGGGAGCCAGCCTGAGACTGCACAGCAGCTGGAGCAGAGGAGTGAACCCTGCAGCCCCCAGCCCACCAGACTTGCACACCCTGGCTGGTTTCATGACTTCCCCAGCCCAATGAACTCCCGCCTGCTGGTCTGCCAGTCCCTGGAGTCCCACCTGGGGATCACTGGGATTGCCAGGGGTTTTAGTCCAGCACCTACCATGCTCACTGAGAACTTGGGCACACCTATTACCATCTAATATCCTCAGTTTCTCTACATAAAAGGGAAGAATTTGGGCTGCACAATACAGGTTGAGCATCCCTAATCCAAAAATCTGAAATTCAAATGCTCCAAAACCCAAAGCTTTTTGAGCACTGATGTGCTCTTCAAAGGAAATGCTTATTAGAGCATTTTGAATTTTGCAGTAGTAGTATTCAACTGGTATGTATTCTGCAAATATTCAAAATCCAAAAAAATCTGAAATCTGAAACTGTTCTGGTCCAAGCATTTCAGATAAGCGATACTTAACCTGTATCTATGGGCTCCTCCAGTTCTCAAAGTCTATGGGGAAGGTTTTTGTTTGACTCCAGAGACCCTTATGAAAATATATTTCCCCCTCCTCTTCCTCCTTCATCCCTTCCTCCCTCCCTTCCTTTCTCCCCTATTCATTTCATTCATTTAACAAACATTGACTGAGTGCATATCTTGTGCTGGGCAGTGGTGAATGGGTCCCGTTCCAGGCACTCAGTCTGTAGTGGGACTCTTGTGATCTGGTCACTAAGTATGATGATGCAGAGGGAGGCACAGGAGGCCATGAGGGTTCACAGAGGCATCTAAGCTAGACTGGGGTCAGGGCAGATCCTGGATGGTGGGATGAGACTCAGCTAGGTGAGGATGGGGTGGGGTGGCACTGAGGGGGAGGGTGTTCCAGACAGGGCGAACAGCATGTGCAGAGACCAGGAGGTGAGCAAGCATGTTTGGGGGCTGACTGCAGAAAAGACAGGGACCCCACAGGCACAAGCAGGCTTTTCTAGAGCTCTTGCCCCACCCTAGCGCTGTTGAGGACAGAAGACCCAGGCTCCTGCCAAAGCTCTGAGTCTTCCCCTCAGCCTGTGATCCTGATCAAGTGGCTTCCCCACCACCAGCCTCAGTTTTCTGTGTGTCTGATGGGCCCATAGCCCTTTGGCTAACTCCTTGGGGCAGTTGTAAAGCCCTAAGGAGGCAGGGGGAGTGAATGTGCTCTGGAGAAGCCCAGACTGCAGTCCTGAGTGATGGGCTGAGGACAATCCCTGGCTGGGCCACAGAGTCATGCCCACTCTTGCCTGCCCCCACAGCATGATTGGGCTGGAAGAGACAGGAGCAGCAGCCTCCCATGCACAGGCGGCAGGGCCTCTGCCAGCAGCTCCTAGACCCCACTCTCGGCAGTAAAGGCCTCCACAGAGACCTGTTTAAAGATGAGGGCCTGGCAACCCAAGTGTGGTCCCTGTGTTTACCCAGAGGATTTCAAGAGCCACAGGGAAACAGCCCTGCCCCAAGCTGCATAGGAGCAGCTGGAGATAGTTACTGACTGCTGCTCCAAAGGAGCCTTTCTGGGGCTGGGCAGAGGAGACATTCAGAGGGGCCCAGGCCCCAGCATGGCCCTGGCATGGCTTTAACAACGCAGGCCTCACAGAACGCCGCTGGGTCCTGAGCAGTGCGTAGCAACACTTCACATGTCTGGTTGGCGCACCCATCATTCCCTCTACCTCAGTGGTTCTAGATCTTTCTTGCTCTCCTTAAGACCCTAAACAGAAGACTTTAGGTACTTCAAGAAAATGGAAATGATCCCTTCAAATTCTGACTCTCTGCTTCTCCAAGCCACACCCATCTTCCCTGTCCTCCCTCCAGGGCAGGGAGAATGGTGTCCCCGCCATGAGGCTCCTCCTTGCACAACTCCAGGAGGCGCCGCTCCATGCAGACTGTGTCCCAGAACTGCATGGTGCAAGTTGTGTACCATACAGTCTTGCCCATGTTCCCACCACTCTCTGGGGCTTGGTTACACAGGACCCCACAGTTGGGTTGGCCAAACTGGCAACTTCCCTTTCTGTCCTCCTTGGGGGTTCCTCTGTGTCCTGCCCAGTAACTGTAGAGAACCCTGCCCTGGGCCTCTTTTCTTCTCACTCTACTGTCACTCCGTGGACAAACCATCCACCCTGACAGTTTCAGTTACCGTACAATGCTGACCACTCTGGAATTGCCACCTTAGCCCAGACTCATTTGTCCAGTGTCCTACTGGATATCTCCATCTAATCCTCAGAACCTGCAAAATCTAACTCACCCTTCTCTCCAGGGATGTGTCCCGACTGAGCTCTGCTATCCAAGCCCAGCAGGTCTTGTCTTGACTTCTCCCTCCACGTCCTCCTACAATCAACCCCGAGTCCCCCTGAAATACCTCCTAAACCTGCTTGACTCTGCCCCAGGTCACCATCGGAGTCTGCCTGAATCACTGCAGAAACTGTCCTCCTTGTTCTCTCCAGTTCACTCTCTTCACTGCAGCTAAAATGATCTTCCCACACTCCAGAGCTGACTCTGTCAGAATGTGTTCCCGACCAGTCACCTGAGGGGGAACTGTGAACTTTTCCAGTTCAGGGGCCACGCCTGATTCATCTTTGTCCCCAGAGCTAAGCCCCAGTCTGGCACATGGCAGTGGCTCTGGGAATGTTTGTTGAGTGAAGGAGTGACAGAACTTGTTACTCCATATCCTTTCCATGATCTCATCCTATCCCCAGGAGACCTGAGCTCACTATCCTCTCCTCTTGCAGCCCAGCCCTGCCCCTTGGTGATTGATGCTCTTCCAGATTTCACCAATCCCAGGAGGTTGGACCTTGGACCAGTCTCTGAGTCAGAGCCCAGCGCATGCTGTCCCCAGGGGCTGGCAGACAGGGCTTCGGCTCTCCTCCAAGGTCACAAATCCTGAAAAAGGCACCACACCCATCCTGGAACCTGCAGGGAAGGTCAGGGAAATATTCCAAAAGGGCCCCACGATGCTGGGGCTTAGCCTGCACGGCTTGCCTAGGCTCCCAGGGTCTCCTGGCCACTACTCAGCAGCTCCTTCCAGCACTGACAGCTGTTCTCTGGCCAGCTCTCTGCAGGAAGACATGTTCCAGTTCATCTGCTGAGGCCGTGTGGATGGCGAGGGGGAGACAGGGAGGATCCTGGGGGATGGGACACACAGAAGCATGGAGACAGAGAGAGGGAGAGAGGAGACACAGAGAGAGAGGTAGGGAGAAGAACAGGGAGAGCCACAGAGAGGGACACGGGAGAGGAAGACAGCGCCAGGACCTAGGGAAATCGCAGAAAGACAAGAGGAGGAGAGAGGGGCCCAGAGACGGGCAGTGAGAGATACAGAGACAAAAAGAGAAAGACATAGAAAGAGACAAGGATAGGGCAAAGAGATACAAAGAGACAGAGACAGTAAGGGAAGGAGAGAAAAGAGGAGGAGAAAGGAGAAAGGGGACCCAGAAATGAAAACAAAGGGCATGGTGGAGGAGAGACTAATTCACTGAGGACATCAAGGACGGCTTCCTGGAGGAGGGGCTCATGTAGCGAGCACTCCCACGATGGGTGGGATTCGGAAGGAGGTGTGCAGGAAGACAAGCAAAGCAAGGAGAAGCAAGGGCCTGGAGGGG